ATGGTGTGCACAGTCGAGCTGCACTACCATAAATTCCATGTCGATCCAGAGCCGGTGGGTGCCATCTCCCACCCCGGCCTTCACCGTGATGGTTCCTTCAGCCTCTATAGTATCCCCTGTGAACCCTGATAGTGGTGTATGGATTGGTTTCAGGTCGCTCCGGGACAACCCCAACTCCTTAAAGGTGTTGCTGTACATGACGTTGACCGAGCTACCCGTATCGACCAAAGTTCGGTGAACAACCACATTATTGATCTCCACCTTTATCACCAAAGCATCCCTGTGAGGGCTGAGGACCGGGGGATAGTCCTCGTCTGTGAAGATTAGAGGTTCCTTCTTCTTCCGCTTAGGCAGCGGCGGCCTCTGTACCTCGGCCAGGTACACCATGTTCTTCCACTTCCTCCGGGAGGACACTGAATCTCCTCCCGTGTTTCCTCCCATGATGAACCGACACCCCAGGTGTCGGCGACCTTGCCTTTCTTCTTCATCTAGGTCCTCACAATCTCGCCCTAGGTGTCGCCGCCCATCTTCCTGCCCTTCCCCCGCTGTGATCGCTGCCGCGGGGGCTGATGGCCTCCTCTAGGTCTGGTTACTCGAGGACGGTCGGTCCGACCAAGGAGGTGGCCCTCTTGCAATCAGCTGATCCATCTCCTTTTTCAACGTAACGCACTCCGACGTATTGTGGGTGCTATTACGGTGGTACTCACAGTATTTGGGTGCATCTTGCACACCATAGCTTTCCCGACTATGAGGAGGGGCAGGCAACGAGTGTACCGCGTGAACAGGATGTCTGTTTGCATGATATCCGGTAGGGTTTGGCCCCTTACCATAGTCCTTTCTCTTCTTCCCTTTTGCAACCGGTGGCCCGCTTTTCTTCTCCTTCCGGACTGGTGGCTCATCATCTTCTTCTTCTAACGCCAAGTACTTCGCCCTGGCCAACATCTCCTGGTAGGTTGAGAGAGGATTCCGTCGCAGCTCCTTGCGCACATCCCCTTGGGGGAGTGCAGCTTGGAGCATGGCGATCAGGGCCTGGTCGTCCGCCCCTTGGATGTCCCTAGCCTCCTTCTCCCACCTATTTATGAATTCCCGGAGCTGTTCCCCCTTCCGGATCTTCACGTTGAGCAGATGCGAGAAGGGGAGCTTCTGCCTCCGGCTGGATGCGAAGTGCTCCAAGAACTTGTGGGCAAGGTCGCTCCATTTATCTATGGACCCCTTGGGTAACTTGTGGAACCATTCACAAGCCTGCCCTTCCAGCGTCGCCAGGAAACATCGACACTTGATTTCTTCGGGGTACGCATACATGACCACGTTGGCCCCGAAGCGAGCGAGGTGGTCTTGGGGATCGGTCGTCCCGTTGTACGCCTTGATTTGGGGAGTCTTGAAATTATCCGGGAGAGGGCAGGACATTATCCTTCTGGAGAAGGGCGTTACCTCACTGAAGACCGCTTGGCGATAAGGGTTTTGGGCGTCCAGCCGCTTCTCCAGTTGTTCGTACATTTTCCACAGCTCAGCTGCGACCTTATCGGTCGTCCGTCGCTCCTCAGAACCGACCTTGGAGGTCGCTGTGGACTCCCCTCTCTTCTCCATGAGCGTGTCCATCAAGTCGCCTTTTCAGGCCGACCGAGTGTCCTGCAGCCGCTCGAACGCAGAGGTCCGAGGCTTCTTTGACTTGGGGTCTCCCAAGCGGTCAAAAGCAGACATTCGCTCGAAGGAGGACGAGTCGTCCTCTTCTTCCAGCCTGGAAAGCGCATAAGCCATCACAGCCTTCCCGTTAGGCTTGGTCGCCTTCTTCTTCTGGGACTGCCTTACTTTTTTCTTTTTTCCTTGGGAGCCCGTAGGTCCAACCTTCCCGCCTGTGGGTCCCCCAGCCACATCTTCCACCACAACCTCGCGGTTGGGCGCAAGTGTAGCCAGCACCTCTTTGAATTGTTCGGCCGTGATGCCAACCTTCTGAATGAGGGCCTCAGCCTCCCCGGTGGTGATGGGAGGGTTCCGACCTCCAGTGGTGCTGTTCTCCCCCTGTTGGGGAACTCCGGTACCTACATTGGCGTTACTGCGCGTTTGCACCATCGTCTTAATGGAGGATTTCCTCTGAGTATGATTCTCGAGCTCTCAATGAAAGCACCAATTTGATGGACAATAAATCCACCAAATAATCCGATCCGTTAAGCGAATCGTAAGAACAAAATTAAGAACGAGAATTCGAGAATGGGGTATGTATTATTAGCTTGATTTTACTTGAATTTCCCCTTTTCGGGTCTCCTCTATTTATACATGAGCTATATGCAATTAAGGTTACACATAATTGATGGAGTCTATCCCGCTAAGGGCGCGATCCCCTTTTTCCGGCTCTGTAACGGCCAATCTGCTGTCTCCTTCTCCGGACTGGCTCTGCCAGCTACTCTTGGTCTAAAGTCAACCGGGCCCGGCTCTGTGGGCCGGCCCAGACCTGAGTACCTTCCGAGTGTCTGACCCGAAGCTGTACAAGCGGTTCATTTGGGCTGCCCACTAGATATCGGCCCATCACTTCCTATAGAAGTAGAACAATGAAATTTAATAGTGTTAATAATCTCTTTCAATTGGAATTCCTTGTTATGTCTCTTCCAACTGCTAGCTCTCCAAATATAGTGGCAAACTATAGCCCATGCAACTAACTAACCATCGCTTCCTGCCATTTCTTTCGAGTAGTAGTCTTCATAATGCATTGCCCAACCTGAATCACATCATTCCATTCATTGTTGGTCTTCATCCATGAGGAGATTTGCCTCATTATTTTCGCCAATCTCACCTTTGTTTGAGTGCACCCCCGCATGATTAAGCCATATTACAAATTGGCACTTTGGCAATGTAAGTTTGTTCCAAACCCAATCAATTTAAATTGGTTTAGAAAAATTGCCAACCACTCATACCCCTGTTGTATAGTATAACAACCATCTCTAGGCATGTTAGTAAATAAACTTCTAGCCTTTGTCATTTGTTTCCAATAATTGGAGCTATTGGCTATGAGGATGTAAGTTAAAAATTACTTATAAGTATTTTTTTATCATATTATAAGCACAGAGAAACACTCACCTATCATATGTACCTTTCATTTTGTTTTTAATTAGAATTTCCAAATAAATTAAAGAATTCATTAAAACTACATTCTTCGGTGACATTCATAACATGGACAATGTATAAAAGTATGATCTAGCTAGCTTGTTTGAAAATATAATATTTTTCATTAACATTAACATCTTGAATAATTATTTAATGTGTTACAATTTTAGAAACATTTAAACAAAATGTAATCATTGAATAACTTTTTTTTAAATGCTAAAGTTAAACGTTAAACATGTTCTTAAATAAGACTTACTCCCTCCGTCCCAGAGTATTTGTCCACTTTCATTTTTACACACCATCCAATACACTTTTTTAATCCATTTTATCTTGTAATTTGTATATTAAAAAATTATAGAAATTATATATTAATAATCTATATGTTAAGACAAATCAAACGAGATAACACATGACTATATTTAGGCTTACACATTGAGAGAATTTGATGAGTCAAAGTACTAAGATGAACAGTTCCAAAAGTTAAAACTGAACAAATATAGTGAGACGAAGGTAGTATATAGAAATGGTTCTAGAAAATTAAAAGAATATTTTGACTTTTTGAGATACAAATTAAAGTACGGAGTACAAAATATTTTGAGGCATTTGGATTTGGTTTTGGGTTTCAATAACTGACACTTCAGTTTGCTCGAAACTGTATTTTCACTGCAGCGTGGTATTTTTACTCTTTTACCCTCCGCGAGTCGGTTCCACGGCCACCAGAATGTTCCGATCCCCGTCGCGCCCCCACGCGCTGCCCCCCCAGTTCCACGTGAAAGAAGTCCATTTCCCAAAACGCCCCCGTCCCCGTTCTCAAACTCCACGCTCTCCAATGGCCAAATCCGTCTTTTCCATTACCCCCATGCGTATCGAGCGCGAAAGGCAAGTAGTGGGGGACCCACATTCTCCCGAATTCGCTGTTTTTATTTTTTTTCTATCTAACAGTTCGCAACAAATCGGAGAGGAGAGAACAGAGAAAGAAAGTTCTCAACCTCTTTCAATGGCGTCCGTCGTGATCGAAGCCTGCACGAGGAGGAGGAAGAGGAGCCGGCGGGGGCCGTATCCGTTCGAGAAGTTCGCGGCGCCGGGAACCGTCGACGGACTCAGCGGCGGCGTGTTCAGAGACGACGTCCGTTTGTTCCTCCAGGAATTCGCAGGGGTTGAGGACTACTCCGTCGCCGGAATGCCTGTTTGGTCTGTCTGGCTCGTAGAATCGTCTAATGGAGCTTTGTTCCCTCTCTATATTGTTGAAGAATCCGTTCAGTGCTCTCCCGATCCTTTCTGCGACTACTGCAAATTTGCAGGTATTTGCTTGTTCTTCGTTCCTGATCGCGCTTTAATTCGTGTTTATGAGTATTTCTTCTTCCATGAACTAGGTTTTATAGTTTCTCCTGTTGATTTTTGTTTTTCTCTAAACTGGATTTGAATTTTGATTTCCTCAATTTGAGGCTGGGGTCACCATTTCGTGTCGAAGAGAAGGTACCACTTCATAATTCCTGCAAATGCGAACTGGGAGAAGCCTCTGGGAAGCGATTGCTTGCAGATCGAGGCTCCTCATACACTACACGGGATGATTCACTGCAACGGATATGGGCATTTGCTATGCATCAACGCTCTCTCCAGAGAGGAATCACATTCAAATCTGCGAGGAACTGATTTCATGGACTTCTGGGATCGCCTCTGCACCGCCCTGAAAACCAGGTGAAAATTTTCATACAATTAATTCGTTTCATCACCTTCATGTTTGTGAAAATGCCAAGCCGAATCTGAACAACAATTCACTTTCTGCTTGTTTGCAGAAATGTGTCTGTGTTTGACGTTTCTATGAAGGGAGGGATGGATTTGAGATTACTTCACGGGGTAACTTATGGGATGTCTTGGTTTGGAAAGTGGGGCTACAAATTTAACAGGGGAAGCTTTGGGGTGACAGAGCAGATTTACCAGAAAGCTATCGAGAATCTTCAATCCTTGGGACTTGATAAGATCCTGAACGATTTCCAGAAACTCTGTCCAGGAAGAAGACGGAAGATCAAACAAGTCATTGAAAAGTACAGGGAAATGAGCGAGGAGACATTGATCACAATCAGTGAGCTCTTGCAGTTCATCATGCGTTCTTCCGCCTTCACAACTCACCAGATTCAGAAGACTAATAATAACAAGTCAATGCCCGGAGCTGGAAAACACAATAATGCTTATGAATGTGACCCCATCCCTGCAGAAGGGTTTCTGAATATGCTGGCTAAGAGCGATTGCAGGTGGTCTTTGAAGAGGCTAGAGATGGTTTTGTGTACAATTGTGGACCTTCTGAAAGAGAGATGCGGCGGGATGATGACGAGGCAAGAACTGAGAGACCGGGCGAGACTCTGCATCGGAGACACCGGTCTGATCGACTATGTGCTCAAATCCATCTCCTGCGTCGCTCTGGGGAATCACACCGTTCGCCGGAGCAGAAATCCCATCACTAAACTGCTGGAATTCAGCATCGGAGGCGAAACTGAAGCTGAGAAGTTCCCATTCCTAGAGGGGGTGGTTCACCCGTCGTCTACCAGACACCCTTCGACCAAGAGGGTCGAGTTCCTCGCCCCCTGCGGCAACAATGTAGCCAGCGGCGACATTTACGGCGACTTGAAGTTGCTCTACGACAGTGTACTCCTCGCTTATCCCGCCGGGAGGGTTATTCTTGACAGCAAGCAGTTCGTGAAGGAGTGGGGGTCATTCCAAGAAGACGCTACTGCGGAGAGGATGGCATTGACCTGCCAAGTCCTGCCGAGTTTTGAGGAGCTGGAGACCGAGTTGACCCGGCCTCTGTCGCCGGGGGAAGTGGTGGTGGTTCCGGGGAGCATCACGATAGGGGAGCTGAAGAGGGTGGCTCAATCTGCTCTGAGGGACACCTACTGCGTGATGGATAGGTTGGAGGTGAGGCAGGTCGGCGGGCTGAGGGGGATGGAGGAGGAGAGGGCGGTGATGGGGTGCGTTGGCGGCGCACACGTCTGGGTGAGAGGGCGCGGCCTGGATTTGGAGACGGAGATGAGGTACCAGGATGGCGGGTCTGCGACGAACTCGAAGGTGGAGTGCATTTGTGGGACGAGGGAGGACGACGGGGAGAGGATGGTGGAGTGTGAAGGGTGTCAGGTGTGGCAGCACACAAGGTGTTGCTGTGGAATTGACGACGGGGAGGATGCTCCGGCGGTGTTTCTCTGCCGTGACTGTGCTGCTGCAGTACTTGCTGGTGGGATTGGGAATAGATTATTATAAGAACTCAAGTGTTTATTAAGAATTAACTGTAATACACATTGATTATTGCGGAGAATCATATCATATCATCACTTGTAATACTACTAATCTTATTGTTATTATTACAAACCACAGAGTGCAGAGTTTTTGGTTATTTCTTCATAAGTTTTCATAAGTTACATTAGTGAAACCAAATGAATTCCACGCTTTGACTTCTCTTTCCATTCCGTTTTGAGCTTCAGGGCACGTACAACCGCGCCGGGCTTGGCAACAACTTTATTATTTAGATTTAACGTTTTTTAAAATTAATCAATATCTTTAAAAAATTATCAAAAATATTAAAGAAAAACAATGTTTCAAAATAAGAGTTATAATTATTAATGGCTTAAACACACATAGGCCAGGTGCAAACATACTACGGACTAGATGTAAACAGGATCCATGCAAGAATCCATGCACACACATATCATCATCTAATAAAGTTATTTCGGCTAAGTAAAAGAAGAAGCGATCCATATTAAACCCAATTAAACTTCACATACTATTTAATTATACGGAGCTAGTATATGATTAATCATGACATTTCTCATATTATTTAATTTATTTTTATTACAATATTTATGTTATGCCATAATTAGTACTCACACAAATAGAGATTATGTATGCTGCGGCGTCCATATCACCAATTCCTTATAATATTGGTTTATGTTAATCTCCACCCTAATTGTGCCTATGAGATGGTCCAGAAGGAGGGACAATGACACCTTTGGGCAAGATACTGAACATCATTTCTTCTTCTTCATCATCACCATTGTCACCACCATTGTCATTAAAATTGATTTCGGTCATCTTGCGAGGATGACCAGGCCTCACGGGCTCTGACATTACTGTATGACGACGATCACCTTCTTCATCATTCTCAGTCTTACGTGGATTACCTGGCCTCACCGGCTCTGACATCACTACCGTATGGCGATGATCACCTCCTTCATCGTTCTCGGTCTTACGAGGATGACCTAGCCTCACTGGCTCTGACATCACTGTATGACGATGATCATCACCTTCTTCATCATCCTCAATCTTACGAGGATGACCTGGCGGCCTCACGGGCTCTGACATCACTGTAAGACGATGACCATCACCTTCTTCATCATCCTCAGTCTTACGAGGATGACCTGGCGGCCTCACGGGCTCTGACATCACTGTAAGACGATGACCATCACCTTCTTCATCATCCTCCGTTTTATGAGGATGACCTGGCGGCCTCACGGGCTCTGACATCACTGTAACACGATGACCATCACCTTCTTCATCATCCTCAGTCTTACGAGGATGACCTGGCGGCCTCACGGGCTCTGACATCACTGTAAGACGATGACCATCACCTTCTTCATCATCCTCAGTCTTACGAGGATGACCTGGCGGCCTCACGGGCTCTGACATCACTGTATGACGACGACCACCTTCCTCATCATCCTCAACCTTACGAGGATGTCCTTGCCTCACCGGCTCTGACATCACAACATGACGACGTTGACCACTTTCTTCGTCACCCTCAGTCTTACGAAGATGGTATGGCGTCACCGGTTCTGACATCACTGTATGAGTGTGAGGACCGTCACCGTCGTTGTTCTTCATCATTTTTGTTGTGGTCATTGCCATACTTGTTGATGATAAGTTGACAATAATGAAGGAGATGAGGAGAAAAGCAATGACACTACTGCATGTAGAGGTCGGTATGGTCTTTGATGTGAAGGAGGAAGTAGAAGAAGAGGCCATTATGTTGTAAGAGTGTTATGCTTCGTATGTCTTTTTTAAATGTGATTTAATTTGTTCTTTCACTTTGTTTTTTGGATGTTGAAGAGAAGATGAGTTTGGCTAAGGGTGCTTTATATATAGGCGTACTTGTGATATAAGGCTAAACTCTCTCTCCTAATAATTTTTGGATAATTTACCTAAATAAGACTTTCTCAATCAATATAGGACTATATATATTGGTCATTATCCATTAGTCATTATTCAAATAAATGACCACCATCACTGAAAATTATTCCTCTCACTAGACATTATTAAGTCATATTTAAGAAATAAAAAAGTTTAAGTCCTACATTAGGAAATGAGTTAAGTTTTAGTCGTATTTAGTGTAAATTTTTCATAATTTTTTCCACTTAATTACAAGTCTTATTGAATTGTCCTGCACAAAAAAATGAAAAATACGTGGTATAAGTTTAAAGTAAAAAAAAAGGGTTATAAACGCCCTCAACTTATTGAAAATAGGAAATTTAGCTTCTTTTTTTTTTTGTCTAACAATGGCTTTATCGTTTTTTTGTGTCAATAAATAATGTTACTTTCTTTTCATGTGTTAGCTCTGTTAGTTTTAATTCAAGGTGTTGGCTAATCTATTAGTAAAAAAATCATATTTGTTAGAAGTTTTACTAGGTAGAATTCTCCATTTGTTAGGAAAAATTATTTGATTGTATTTTATCAATGGTGACACAAGCTAGGCGTGTGCGGAAATTGGAGTCTTCAATCTGTAATTTTTCACATCAGAGACCTATTGGGATTACAAATACTTATTGTGATTTTTTATTAAATATCCAGCTAGTATTTAGTAGGTTTATTTAACTTGTGGATCAAGATTAAAGATGTTGCTTGTATTCAAGACAACTTCTAATAATTACTTATTCCTATTGGGATTAAGGCTTGAAGAGACCTATATATACAACAGATTCATGAGATTTCTTGGAGCGATTGTGTGGGAAACAATACAGAATATAGGTTGATCTAAAGCATTCCGTCATGTCACTGCGTGAAGAAGTGTTGCGATCTACATGAAGAAGGAAATCTTCAGTGCCAACGAGATCTGAACATCCAAAAGATGAACCAGAGCTGAAGGAAAGGGCTGCCAACATGTTTATTATTGTGATTCGATGAAAATGTAATAGTCAAAGCAGATTTGTACAAGTTACGAGTTAGAAATCTTATATTAGAGCTTTTGCCATAACAATCTAAAGAAATGTATATCATCATGTTCTTATCTACCATACCGGTGTAATCTGCATACAGTGATTTAGTAGAAGTCTATAACACAAACATGAGCCCTGCAGAGTATTAGAGTTTTTTTTCGAGCTGCGTAAAAATATCTTGTGTTATTTTTTAACGATTTTTATAGTTTTAGCATTCTTCCGGTAGATGCAGTAATACTTGTAAGTCATCTCGTTCTGCGTGCAACTTTTCGAAACCTAAAATCTAATTTTAGATTAGGGAATGAGTTCTAGATATTTCAAACTCAAAATTTTTCTTAACATTATTTAATTAATGGCTTAAAATATCTACTGTTATTTGATGCAAAAGTGTCTTTTGTTTTTACAAAAACACATGAATCTCTCCTTTTTCATTCGTCATGTTATGTTTTTAACTGAAACCTGTATAGAATCTAGCTAAAACTCAAATGAATATAATCTGAACAAATAACATATCAAAATAACCAATCTCATAAAAAATATATTTTATGTATTGTTTATGTTTTGTAACTTTCTTAACTTCCTCCTACATATCCGCAGTTGGAAAATGTATTGTTTATGTTTTGTATACTTTAGTTTGTTGTTCTAAATTTGAAAATGTACACTTGTAAAAAAACTACCTCCCGTTTGTAAGTATTTTTGCCTAATTTTAATCTTTTGCAGTCAATCATGTTTAACATATTTTGAAAATATTTTATTAAGTAGAACTAATTTAAAATTTTTATATCAAAATTTAATATCACTTTACAGTTTGCTAATTTCAGTTGAAAAAAGTTTAAAATAAGCAAATACTCAACAACAAAAATAGTATACTAGGTATTTGTTTACATAGATAGTGAAAGTTAACTGCACGTAAGAGAGAGAGAGAGGTCAGCTTCAATTCTAAAATTGAAATGGGAATGATATTGCTGGAAATTGGGCAGCAATGCAAGCAAACACCTACATATGTCAAATTTCCCCCTTTTTCTTAATTGTTGTTGTCATTATTATTTTAAAATTCCTAACATATATTCTTAACTCTTATATATATATATATATATATATATATATATATATATATATATATATATATATATATAGAGAGATTCTAAAATAATGATACTTATATTAATAAGTTTCGGAGGATAATAATTAATTAATATTGAATTCTAATAATTAGCAAAATGAAAATATGATGCTTTATTTGGTTCTTTTCTCGCACTCTATTACGAGATCACACGGTGATATAACATATTTCAACCATTTAAAAACTGCACAATCACAGAGTGACATGGAGTAGAGTAGGAATGTAAACAAATCAAATATTTTAAATTTGATTTGTGAATTGTGATTCGTATTCAAACACTACTTTTGATTCAAAAAATAAACAAATACAAATATGAATATATTCGATATGATTCAGATGATATTCGAAAATCGAGCTAGTATATGCATGTATATGCTCGCTGACCTTGTTTTCAATACCACTCCCAGATCTCGATACTCGGTATTCGTCTTATTTTTTTTTATCATATTTTAATTATTAAAAATTATTTTTTGAATTTATTTTACTAAAGAATTACTTCTACTTGCAAGAAAGTCTTTATTCTCCTCAAAAAAAGAAAAGCTAAAAATGTGCAGCGTCAAGGCTGCGTCTCTTAATGTGGAGGAATGCAAGTGATTTGCAAGGCATGTCTTGATGTCGATTCTATTCTGATGTGTCATGCATGTCAACTAAATTGACATGTCATTAATTGTGAATGCTCGGAGTGACACGCAAATGTATTAAAGAATTATTCTTGTAGTTTTTAAATATGTAAATTTTGATTTTTTAAATTAATATTATTTTTCATATAAAATAATTTAAAAATAACTTCAGTCAAACATTGCAACGCGCAACGAGAACTTTATTTATCGACGGAGGGGTACCAATTATGTATTTCGTATAAGTTCTAAATACTCATTTTGTCTTAATATTAATTTATCAGTTTCACTTTTGTAGTTAAATGTTTTGAATTCTGATCGCATATTACGGAAAAAATACATTACATTTTAATATAAATTTGTTAACAATAGATTGATTTTGAAACATAACTTTGAAATATATTATTTTTATTATATATACTTATATAAAAATAGAAATATTAAAGATCAAAATATTAAATTGACGATCGTGAAAAGTCAAATGAGATATTAATTTGAAGACGGACGTAGAATCTAATTGTGCACGAATAGTATTTTCCTATATAATCACAATTCCGAACAATAAATTTACTTAGATTGATGTATAAAAAATAGCATATGCATTGCCAAATTTATAATCAAACACGGAAAATATGCATTAAGGCATACGAAGTAGTATCTCAAAGTTTTTTTAATCTTTCGTAGTCAATAATATTATTGAATTTAGTTCATTAATTAAATAAAATTTATATTAGATATTAATATAAGAGTAATTTTGTTAAATTTATATTTAATCAAGTTAATAACGCTCAAAAATATTCAGTTTTGGCTTTTTACATTCAACTAAATCGGTCTTTGACTAAGAATATAATTAAATAAAAATTAGATGATCAATTTATTAGGTAAAATAATATTTTTAAAATATTTTATAACATAAATCTAACAAAACTATTCTTGTATCATACTCTGTATATAATATAAGTTTTATTTAATTAATGATCAAGTTTATCAATAATTTTGAGTGAAAAGGATAAAACCTTTTGTGTGTGTTTGGTAAAGTCTAAAAAAATCTTATATATTTAATATATTTAGAGCCTATTTTAGGATTTAAAAAAGCGCTGAATGTTGAAAGAAAGTAAAAGAAACAAAAAAAACCAGAAGATACAGAAAAAAATTAAAATAAAATTGGAAAAATTAGAAAAAACTATAAAAAAATTAGAAAAAAATAGAAGGAACACAAAGAAACTAAAATAAACTGAAAGAAACTAAGAAAAAGTAAAAGTAACTTTAAAAAGTTATTTAAATGTACCTTACATATTATTCTTATTTATTACAATTGTTATTGTTATTATTATTATTCTTATTATTATAACAATCATATATAATGAGCCGTGAAAATCAATACAATTTGATCACATGAATAGTGTAATGTCATTTAATTAAAGACAGAGCGACTAGTTTAATTATTACGGAGTATTTTTCATTTAAAATATCAATATTCTCTCAATAGTGTCCTATCGTATCCTTTGCATGCAGATGATGTTTTTTTTATATTAAATGAATACAGATGCAGAGAGTATTCAATTATTTTGAGATTTCTTTTGCATCATTTATTTCTGAACTCTTCACAAAGTGCAAGTTCCCCCACCCCTAACTTAAAAAAATGCACTAATAGTTCATATACTCCGTATTTTTAAAATGTGCGTGCTTTAACCCCCAAGCACTTTAAAAAGAAGTTCCTGAACTTTCAAAAGTGTATCATTAGTTTTGTATTTTTTAACATTGTGTATGATTGAAATTCCAAGAATTTATGTTTATTTGCACAATTACTTCTTATATTTTTTAAAAAGTGCGTGTTTTACCACTGAATTATTTAAAAATTAAATGATTTTTCTTCTGAACTTTAAAAAATGTACCATTAGTTATATATTTTAAATATGATGTGTGGTTGAAGCTCTAAGAATTTAGGTTGATTTACGATGTTTTTAACCAAAATTGAAAAAATAATAAAATTAAACTAATGGTGGACTTTGGGAGAGGGGGGTGGGGGAAAGAATGCAATTTATGAAAAATTTAAGAACTATTAATGTACTTTTGAAAATTTAAGGAAAAAATATATTCTCCCTGTCCCACAATCTTGAGGTGCGATATTCAGAAGGTCAAACTTTATATACTTTGTTTC